GTGCAATTAATAAATTTTCATACTTTTTGTCTTCGCTGTTTCATTGAGAATGATACCACTTCTAAAAATCTGTTGTAACAAAATCGATATCTCGAGATTTTTAGTTGAAGAAATCCCTTGAAAGGCAATGCTAGCTAAGAAATTTCACTGATGCGTCGAAAAGTCTGTCGCATTATTAATTATGCGGCGCCACGAAATGAACATGTCAGCATCATTTTCCGTGTGAATTGCCCTGAAGCCAGCTTTTTCACAATAAATTCTTTTATTTTCAAGTTCACTTCACGTGCAAGTGAGAATTGTTTTTTGAAATTAAAAAAAGCGAGCTGTGAAAATGACCAGGTAAGAAAGTAAGAGTACAAACAAGATAAAAGCTTTGTTTTCGAGTTTTGTATGTTTTCGATTTGCATCGGCTTTCACCGAGAGCATTAAGAACAATTTTCTGTGAGAATCAAACATCTTGGGAAATGAAAATTTTCAACCCCCCTTCAAACTTTGCATACAGTTAGGCTCTCAGGGGGAATCCACAAAAATGCCCTTTTTGAAGGTTGCAGCACTCTTGTTGCCATGGTAACAACGACTGCTTGTTCGAGGCCTGGGGCCTCATTTTCATACAAAACGTCGCAAAAAAGAGTGAAATGTTTATTTCTCTATCTCAAGCTAAATACAACATTACAAATTAGTATTTCTACCATACATAGTAACATCATTCGTCTTTACTTTGATACATTTTATTTCCCCTGGAATTGAATGTGAACACGCTAATAGATAATTTATCTCGGTACAGTTTCGGTCATTTTTGTCGTCGGGTAAAACAGGGAAAACGTTTATCTGAATTTCTCCAAAAGTACACCGATTCTGGAACTGAAAATACCCACCAAGCTGGTTATAATATTCTAGTTTTTAAATATGTAAAACTCTCTGCGGTCCTGCCCCTACTTTTTATAGGGGCAATGCGCGAAAAAAGGTCCAAATCAGATATTGCATAATTTGGCGATGTTTACATCTAATGTTCTCAACAACAAACGTTTCAGACAAATGAAACATGTGAGGATATGAAAGAATGTTATCTTATGAGCAATATCCCGAAGAGAAATCTCACCTCTGGTTGTAACTACAAACATATACCTCAAATCGTGTGCATTTCATCCAGATTCAGAGCGCTGCACCTTCTTTCATGGGAATTTGAGCGATCCGAAGTCCTCTGAAGATACACTGTTATACTTGTATGTCATTTGAAACATGTCGAAGTCGAGTGATCTACACAAAACTATCCTCACACCGCTCATTTGTCATAAACATGTACGTTGTCACGATGGCGTGACACTGTATTTCTCCGTGAAGATTCCATCGGTCGCTCCAAAGAAGACGACAAATATATATTTTTCATATATGTCAGCAGATTTCCACTTTCTGAAGTAAAAACAACCAAAAAAAAGGAGGAAAACTTCGATTGAACGGTCGTAAACACTGAGAATCAGCAAGCAATTTGAACGACATAGGCATCCCCTTACAAATAGCAGATTTGGGCAGTTTTCATTTCCTTGTGACAGTAAATAAGATATTTCGAATCCTCTGAAAACTGTCAGAAAACTGTTAGAAAATTTGCATAAGATATGATGAGGAGAGACTTATCACCGACGCAGTGCAATCGAGTCACTCAATGTTTCCTTCCGTGTCTTGAAAGAGAAAAAAATCATAACAAAGTTTGAAATAAAAGATTTTATGAAATCATAATGTCATAATTCCACATTTCAAACAACTTATTATCCACACGTATTTATCGCAACTTATTATCGCAAATTTTCACTTAAACGAAACTCCCCATGGTTAATATGAAATATGGATTGCTTCATGTCCTCTAGGAAAAAGAACAGCGATTTCGTCACCATTATTTTCCTTACTTTTCTTCCGGATATCTTTTACAAGCTTAAAGAAAGATGAATATAATGCAATCTCCAGTGATTTACACGAGAGGAAGTCAAAGGTCTCTTTCATTTTCCCCTGAGGTGGCCGGCTCACTTGGAAGAAACAGGAGATCGTTCAGTCCAATAACGTTAGTCTGTAGAGATTATCAAGCTAATAGCTGAGAAGATTGTGCCCTTTGGTTCATCAGTGACAACATTAATTATTTCAAATCTGTATTTCTCAGTCCAAGCGACACCAAAAATAGTTCCTTTGAAATTTTGTAAGCACTTTCTATAGCATTTTTTTGTCAAGTGAAATAAATCTAAAGGCTCAAAGCCAATATAACGTTCAAGCACGTGCACTGACCTCCATCTTTCATATAAAAAAAGTATCAAGGGAAGGACATTTTGACTTTATCCATACTGTCCTTTCATGTCCTCATTTAACAAAAATTGCAAGTTTTTACTTTGTGGAGTCCTGCAAACTGTGAATCAATCCAGTTTATGCATCATTTTCTCATAGCACAAGGTCTATATCGCATTTATTATCACGGGAAGGTAAGATCTGTTATTAGAAGATCAACAAACGTGTTCGAACGATCGAAAAGGTACTTTTGTTAATTGTGAAAATTCTGCAAATAAACTTTGACAAGAGTGATATCTCTACAAATACAAAGATTTGTATGAATTCCAAACAGTTTCTGGGAAAGAGGTACGAAACGATGCCGGGGTGAATTTATTTGAGCATGATATGCTTTCATGTACCTTTCCAGTTCGATTTAATTTCGAATTCTTTCCTTTAAATGGATCAATTTTTTTACGCAAATTAATGTTTTAGGAAGGGTCTCCCGAGATCTCGCTGGCATACATAAAATCCAATTTTAATTCCATATTTTGTCTTCAAACTAACTGAATACATTTAATGATTTTGAACTAAGTACAATTTGAAGAATAACAACATTTCAGACGCTGTGCTTCACAAAATCGTCAAGTTTTTTTTTTGGAAAAAATTCCTTACAGTTTATGGCCAAAAATTCAACTTTGATCATTACAAATGTGTTTTAAACTCTTTTCATGAGCATGAACTTTCACTCTGTCCCAAAGGCCAAAAAATTAAATCATTAAAATATTCAGACAAGAATACCTCAGATAAATCCAATTGCGCCTACTGTCATTCATCATAGTTTCTTTTTTATGCTGCCAATTTCCGCGAGTGACGTTGTTGTGTAAACAAAGGCATACAGTTGAAGTTGATGCCAATTATGATATAGCGTGTAGGGGATCGATTCCAGGCTCGTATAAGGGACTTTTGTATTAACTAATTGAAATTTTAACGCCATAAATTTACATGGAAAGGGATATGGGACTAGAAATCTATCCAGATGTCACAAGACAGGTGAGAATTAGCTTACCACTATTTTAATTCCAACCTTAGTCTGTTGACACGAGTATTTATCGTTAATTCTGACATACGCGAACATCGGTTAGTCGAATCGATCAGGAAAACCAGTATCTCCTGGATCTACTGCAAAGAAAAAGGTTGGTTTACCCTAAATATCAATTCAAGCTTAGTTCCCTAGCTTTCTTTTACTGATTGTGTTTGCATCGCAGGGGTCAGATTAAGAACGTTTCTCAATTTTGAAAGCGTTATACACGTCTGTTCTTATTAACGTGCATCGCGGAGGTAGACGATGTATTTCTACTGCAATTAGAACTATGATAACAGACTGTGAGATGGATTTGAACTGACATACAATTTCTGCAATCACATGAGCAAAACTAAGCTCTACGTTAGTTGTCTAATATATCAAACCTCCTCCTGGTCATGATACATGTTTATTCAATCAAAGTGATGGGATTCAAATGATAAACAGAGTTGCAGCTATATGAACAGAAAGTTTCAGTGTATTCACTTCAGTGACAATATGGAATATTGCTCTGATAACAATCGTAGACCAGAAACGTGGATCTTCTTTAATTTCTTCGACGATTTGAAAAATTGAAGTTGGCAATTTTATGCAGTGCGAACCTTGTGCTCTTCGCACAAACAAGGGAGGCACACAAAATAGTAACAAATTTCATTTGACCTGTGGATGAAAATGACAATCGAACACAAATCCAGGTAACTAAAATATCTCTGGGATTCATTTGCTAATAACACATATAGAGGAAATAATCACAAATGAAACCATCAAAGCGGCAACAGAGTTAGAAGCTTGTGCAAAGAATAGATGATTAGTTTAGTTTAGTTGATGTACGTGATCAAAAGGAACAAATTTTTCGGCATGGATTTGTTCAAACCTGTCATGCCTATTCCTCGCCATATTTTGTGGGTCAATTTTATACAAATTTTCCTTAGATCAGCCTTACTGACGGCTAAACGGAAGTCGCCTGTTAACAAGTCGATCTCTTCGAGTTATGATTAAAATGAATTTAATTAATATCTACAGCGGCTGCAATGTCAAGTGTAAATAAAAAATAAAAATAAAAGTGCAAAGATATATTCCTTGCTACTACTGACACTTGATATTAGTTATTTCAATTATAATTTATTTTAATCTTAAGAAAAGATTTCAAAGTGCTTTCCGGCAGAGTTAATGTTCACTGTCAGTCTCGTTGTTTACTTACTCTACTTTAGTATGTAATGTTTACCACTGTAGATCAAGGTAAGCCATGGTAAGCCAAGCCAAGCCTACTAAATTGTACGCGCCTGGAATTCACGGATGTCTTGGATGGGTAATCTTGAAAATCTTTCCTGACCTATCAAGGAATTAGAAATAATTTAATAGGTATATTCAAATGATAGTCACAAGACATGTCAGCAGTGAATGATAAAAATGTATAATAACAATAATGCAGCCAAACGAAGGCTGACTCTTAGGTCTCCCAGTTTGCGGCTCTTTCCCCGGTGTCCAATCAATGAACTCAAATCCTTGCATTGGTGATCACAAAAACATGAGGGAGCCGAAACTTCTCACGTTATTCTCACGTTGTTCTGTCACCAAAATGTTTATCTTTATCACGAAGGAACACAGGAAAATAATTTTTTGTTTTATTGACTAGCACGTGTGTGTGGATACAAAGTGTGATGCAGCCATGAAAAAAGGTATGTGCGGATGGTGGAACGAGAAGGCCTAACATCACGACCAAACTTTATCATCTTGTTAAAATAACCGTATTTTCTTACTTATGCGCTCCGCTATAACTCTTAAAAAATAAAACAAATGTATTTTTTAGCGCCGGGATTTATGTTGTCGATATTTGATACCGTTAAAAAACGTTGTTTTAACTCCATGTAAATCATCATTTGTGAATCCGATACAATATTTTGATATTTAAAAACTGTTCTATGAAATTATTATATTTCATGAACCAGAAAATGAAATGAAATGGAATTTACAATTCCAAGGACCCTCTCATTCTATCCAAGAAAATGAAGAGTTTTCAATGAAGTCAGCAATGATAACCACTGTTCGCGATCTAGAGGACGTATGTTGCCCCTTTGCAGCAATAAACGCTGTGGTCCCATCATTACTATCGAGTTTGAGGTCCGTTCTGTAAGTTACGGACCGGGTTTTTTCTGCTCGGATTTATGGCCCAAGCTCAACATACGTAAGATATAAATACGAGCAGAAAAAAAAACTAGTTCTATAACTTATAATAGAAAACCGAGAAATAAGGTTAGACATTTCTTATATCTGTAGGATCAAATGGAGAGAGAAGATTTCAATTAAAAACAAATTCCAATAATCTATTTTTACGCATTGCAACCCATTCTCTTGTGATCAGTTACGTCTGAGACTGAAGCTAGAGGGCTCAACCGAAATTTAGAAAAGGGACTTCGCTAAACGATGGTTCAAACGACGAGGGTCAGTCGCTAATTGGTCAGTTCGGAAAGTTTACCAGCAATCTTTCATCTACTTGCGAGCGGATATGTCGCACATTATTCATAGACCATTAGAGATGCACAGAACTTCTTCCTTGAGAAGATGACAGTTGCAAAGCCTTCTAGTTGGAAACTATCTTTCCGAATTTGCAAATGAATGAATCCGTTCCTCGCATGAAAGGTTTTCTACTTAGCCTAATTTTGATAGTCAGGAGGTTTGTAACCCATTCTATTGCTATCGTATAGTACCCCTGGGATCTATCGCCGAGCTTCCAGCTGAATCGTGCACAGAGGTTAGAGCAAGTGAAGGAAATGATGTGGAAAATAAGAAACACTGGATATACTCTGATGAGAAAAGTTTGCCAATAGAGGCTCTTTGTGAAGGTAATCATATATTATAGTCAGTAACCACAGAAAGGTCTGATCCTAAAGAAATTCTATCACAAAGATGACGACACGTCATTAGATTTTGGAACTGGAAACCTGTTGGTCCACTAATTTAAAAACAGCAATTTAGTCAGTTTGTCACCTTATTAGTCGACCTGTCTGTACGTTTAAAGGTCCATCAATTGAGAACCTAAGTATTATAGGGGTATGTAATTTGTCTATAAGTTCTAACAAGTAATTCGATGCAACTAATCGCAAATAATAGTAAATTTTTATAGACTGTCCTAAAGAGTGCTGCATCGAATATACACCATTGCCCGTCCGATTGGTGTGGAATGTTCCAGTACTGGACTATAATGGACTCACGGTAACTTTATTCAGCAAACATCCCAGTTATATCCAAAACTTATGTCTACATTCAAACTGTTTATGAGTACAAAATTAATTATTGAAAAAAATAGTAACACCCACTATTAGTAGCCACGTGTTCATTTCCAGGGGGAGTAGGTCCTTACCTGATGAAGACCTCAGAAACGTTGATTGTTTGAATTTAAAGTTCTTAGTTTTATCAATTCCACTATAGGTAGCTGGCAGAAGGTAAATGGTGAATATTCTGTCTGCTTTGGAGCGAAAGATAATCAGTATGGTTCCGTGACAATCCCCAAAAGTGGACGTCTCCGAGCCATGAAGCTCATCCACAAATCAGGATCGTTACGCTGCAATCGCGTAACTGGCTCATCGTTCTGGGGTTGCACTTACAGTGCATATAATGGAAAACTATCGACAATTATAACAGATGCTGATAAAAACGCCGTCCTACCTCCTGATGAAGACCTAGAAGGGTTAAATGTCTCACAATCTCACGGATGTGGCACCGAAAAACACTTTTACAGTCTCGATGGGACCAGCCACAATTCTACTGTACTGGTTTTTCGCAACCTTTCGAATCCGTTGTCTGTGTCACGCGATCAAGAGTTGCAGATATGGTACGGACAAGATCTGAAAGACTGTTCGGAACGTGGGAACAGTGGTGAAACTTGTGTTGATGTGTTTGCATGGTACGAGTAAGAGAACCGTCACTCAGGAAAAATTTCAATCGAATACCAAAAGTCAGCTTTCGTTTTGTTTTACTTCGTTCTTTGGTTTAGGAAATTCTTACCATCTTCTCAATAAATCAGACTCAATCCTAAAGCCAATCATGACTTTGCTTTTTTGTTTAATTGAGCTTCGCATCCTCATCTTTTTCCCCTGTTTCATTATTTTGGTTTCGCTCTTACGAACGAGCCACCGTCGAAATCCCTACTGCCAGACTAGTACATTACTTCTGAGCATGTTTAATCTGCTGATACTGAATAGTACCAGCAGATACCGAAAAGTGCCAGCAGATTAAAGTAGTAACACAGAGGCTGAGGTTACTTCCCACCTCGCGGGTGTCCTTCAGGAAAAAAACTTTGTACGCGCGCTAGTTTCACTAAAACCCTAGCCAACTATTTATAAGAAGAAAGCTTAATAACGGCAGTTTACGATAAAAATATAATTTAAGCGACTTTTCTTTTAGGAAAGTGTCAGGAGCCGGTAAGGCGTGAAACGACCGAACATTCTCCTATTGAATTTATCAGGTATCGGATTGCGCAGCACTATCAAAATGGCTGCACAGTCTCACTCACAAGGTATCAATCAACAAGTGTGTCAGGCTTTTTCGACCTTCTGATTGGTTTTCTAGGTATCGGCATCCAAAGTTGGAGAGGCTAAAAATATGCGTATCATGTTACATTAGTGGACGCTACAGGATTCAAATACCAAAATTTCCCGACACAATTTCGTTTGTCATTATTCCTAGAGTGTTTTGGCGAAGTTGGACAAAAATAGGTCAAATCTATATATCCTATAGATTCGTTCAAAGTGGTTGTAATCGAGTAAGACAAATCGATATCGAGCTCGGTTGCCCAGAAACAAATATTGATCCCAGATTTTTAGAAGTGGTATCATTCTCAATGAAACAGCGAAGACAAAAAGTGTGAAAATTTATTAACTGCACGCCAAAGGATATCATGTCAACAAAAACAATGAAGGAACTTTGTGCGAGTCGACGATTTTCTTTTGTTTTTGGGTGCGAGTTATCTGGCAGTGCGGGTAATCTTTTGAAATGTTTTTCTCGTTATTGCAAAAATTGACCGATGCGGGTAATCTGCCGTGCGGGTAAATGGACGGAAATTACGGTAATTCCTTCCCACGTTTTTTTCATATTAGTCAAGTTAGAGTCAAAAACATTTAAATGGTATTGTTGTTTACTTATGTGTTCAGCTACAAATTTTGTTTCTACAAGTTCTGTACTTAGAGACATCACCAGATGCATATAGTTTGTTTTTAATCTCAATGGAGGTGCGTAAGCCTTGAGTTATCCATGGTTTGGAGAGCTGTTTTGCTTTACGATTTGAAATTGTCTTCATAGGTGCTTGTTTGTTTACAAGCTTATTAAACGTATTATAATATATTCAGGCCAGTACGGGATTTGAACCCATGACCTCTGCGATACCTGAACTAACAAAGCCAACTGAGAGCTGGTCAATATGTTGGGTCCGAATAAACCATCCAGGTGATGAATAATGATTTTAGATATATGAAATTCATATATTTGCACTGCGGTGAAGAGACCGATATAAGAGATCCTCGCAGCTAAGAACACTACTGAATTAGTAGTTGAAAGTAAGACCTGAAAAAAATTCAGGCACGTGCGGGATTTGAACCCAGGACCTCTGCGATACCAGTGCAGCGCTCTACCAACTGAGCAAACAAAGCCAACTGGCAGCTGGTCAATATGTTGACCCGTACATGCCTGAATTTTTTGGTCTTACTTTCAACTGCTAGTTCAGTAGTGTTCTAATCTTCATGTCAAGTGCAGTTATCTACGGCAGGCAAAGCAAACAATATCATTAGTCTCGATGTTTCTGTTGAATTTATCATAAATTTGCCTCAAAATCCTAACCACTTCTTATAGTATTTCCGAAATTGTGGGAAGCAAATACACGGTCGATGGTGTTAAATTTTATAGGTAAACAAAACATGACAATCGGAGGAACAATCATACAATGGAATGAATCAAGAACAAGCTGTTCACTGTACAACACTAATTTCTGGTTACCATGTATCTGCGGCAAAAAACCATGTATCATCGGAAAAACTAAGAGAACTTCATTGCATTCGCTTTCACTCGTCTTCAATGCATCACAATACTTTGAAATGGAAGTCCAATGTAAATTCTAAATGTTCATCAAAATTACAGTTTCAAGGCAACTGTTTTCATACTAATAATGTTGCGAACATTACATTACCTGAGCAAAAAACCACGTTACTGAAGAGTTCAGAATAATGTTAGGTAGCACTTAAGGAGGAAACTATGCGCTGTCAAGCCCACCATACTCAGCGAAAGGCACCAAGTACTGTCGATCTGCCTTTCTCGGTTCTCTAATACACAATCAATTCTACTTACATCCAATTTTACCCCACTCTGTGGAACTCTGGTTAATTTCTTCGACTCTTACAATTTGATTCTCTCTGAATACTTTTTACTGACCTCTCCCTGATTTGTGTCGCGCATGCTACTAAATGAACTATGAAGTACATGCTTATATAGTCACTACAGATAGGCATGGGCGGACATGCCAATCAACTGGCTTTGAATTATTATTTTAGACCACGGTGTCTGCAAAGTAGACAATGACTCAAGCATAGCGAATCTATTACGCGGGTCGCTTACACGCAAAGAATTCTGACATTTTCGCTCATAAATTGTATATTTAGTTTTTCTTTATAAAAAATGTTAAATAAAAATATTAGAGAATACTCGAAGATCAGATTTCAAAATACTTAAAAGTACATTTTGGCTATAACTATCACTTTTTCTAGTTTCAGAATACGCTGTCTCTAAATGCCCTGCAACCAGGTACGTTCTAAAATAGACAAAATGTCTGGCAGTCAGAAATTTCCACAGAATTTCCACCGAAAGGTTCTTTCAAACTTGTTAAGATTATCAGATGTTTGTGAATGAAAGTGATGATCGCAGTAATGTGCACTACTTGAGCAATAGTGAAAGTAAGACCTGAAAACAATTCAGGCATGTACGGGATTTGAACCCATGACCTCTGCGATACCGGTGCAGTGCTCTAGCAACCGGGAGCTGGTCATTATGTTGGTTCCAGATAAACCCGTGAAGTGATGACTAGCTCCCAGTTGGCTTGTTAGCTCAGTTAGTTGAGCAATGCACTGGTATCGCAGAGGTCATGGGTTCAAGTAGTGTTCATCACTGCGAGGATCGCTTTCATTCACGTCTTTATCCGCAGTTCAAATATATGACTTTCATATACTAACAGCCGATTATCATTTTAGTGGACAAATTCTCCGTGCCGTGCAGCCTATAATATCGCTCGGTTGTCGACACTTTGTACGCTTCTGATCAGTTCGCCGGGCACGGACCAAAAGCCTAGCGGTCAGAATTTTTCAAAGTGCCACTAAATGGTTCCATTCTCTGTTCTCCATTGATCAAAATGTTACATAAAAGTAGTACAGAATACTTGACGATAAGATTTTTAGAGTGGTCGTCTGTAAAAATCGAGCAGAGATGTTGAAAAAAAAAAGTCTCCATGAACGCAAGCATGAACCAATTGTTTTAAAACAACGTAAACGCAGTTGTTTATATATTGTTTTCTTGCAATTTAAAAAGTTTGGGAAAAGACGGCGCTCCATTAATGTGTTATGAAATGTTTCCACGCAAAAACTCAGACACATCATTAAGAAAATCACAGTGAAGTGGTGGCATGATTGATTTGTGATATTTAGAATGACGGAAGCAGGAAAAACACATTGAGATTTTTCCTATTCACCAGTAAGTTAATTAGATTTTGGATTCTACTTTCAAACTGGGTGAGATTAAATTTATTCATATCATATGCTTCGTTATGGTTTGTTTACCTGGAAAGGTAATTGTTATTATAGCTTCAAAGATGTTCTTGTTGCAATCACAATTAACGTTCATAACAAAGTTTCATTTAACATAGGATATTTCAAGAACTTTCTTCCTTTCTCTTCAATACCATTTACTATTCCTGGAGCATAATTAAAGGAAGCAGGTTTTTAAAAAATTATAACTTTTGATTCAGGTAATTATTTGAATATGTGAGTAACATTTCATGTTTTCGCATGTAACAGGATGATCAAGTCTCAAAAAGGATTGAACTATACTGTAAGAATTAGGTGACTAATTTGGAACCTTGAGCACTTGGTAAATACACCTTGGCTTGCAATTCTGATGATTACAGTTTGCTGAGGTAATTGAAATGTTAGTCCTCATGCAGGAACCTTCCACATGACCTGTACAGTTATGTACTATGAGATAACTTTAGAAAAATGCTTTTCTGTTGTTGGAACTATTGTAAATACAGTTCCACCTCGGGACAAAAATAAATGATTTCCTGTAGGCATGAACATTTGGGAGAAGTTATGGTGGTAAATGACCCTTCTTTTGCTTGGATGAATAGGGTCTGATGATTGTAATGTATATCTTTTAGCTTTCAAACTTTCAACTTTGTATTAATTTTAACTGTTTACCATATCTATTCTCTGTACCTTAAGCCCTCAAAAGTTGAAGCAGGCGAGTCAATAACCTGACTTCCTTTGTTTGGAATTGTGTGATTATATAATTTTGCTGTGTAAGTTACCATACTTTAACATGTAATATTTGTTATTTAGATTGCATTTAACACTCTTCCTCAAGCTTTCATTAATGCACGGTGTTTCTTACCAATGGTCCTACCTAAACTGAACATTGAAATAAGGAATTGGTCACAAGATCTGTGAGTTTAAAAGGGTGAGAATCTGGAAAAACAAGGATCCTACTTTAATTAGGACTGAAATTAATGGGGGCCCTCCTATTTAATTTGACCTGCCTCCTCCCCTGTAATGTTTAGGACACAGATGAAGAGAACATTTTTTTGTATTTTGATGCATGAAAGTTAAATTACCAATAATTGGCGTCCACATAATCACAAAGCAAGAATATAAAGCTTTAGCTTAATAGGTTAAACAGTTAAAATAAGACAGTTTTGCAGACCATGTCTGTCTTTTTATGCTGGCTCTGGATATTTATTCAAATAACAGTCACTATTAGTCTCATTCACTCCCACTTTCCACTGAGCTTGTGGAAAGATGATAGCACAATTATTTCTTTAAATGAAGAAAGGAAAGCCTGCCCTCTTGCCACGGATAGTTCTGTTGGGTATCATCAGTACAAACCTCGTCTAATTTTTACATGAAGATGATTGTTCCGGGTAGGCTAACCTTAAAAATTAGTTGTGAAAATCTCTTGAACCTGTCGTTGTACGTCTTGAATGTTTGACTCAATTTTACCCCACTAACCTAAACTGAATAAATAGAAACATGAAATTTATTTGTTCTCCTTTTGAGGTGTGCATCAAAATTTGGGCTTAAACTATAGGTTTACAGGAAATCTGCATGTGCATGTGTTTTCAACATATGAAACTGGGATTATGACTACTTCAAAAGACTTAACTACATGCCACATAGGAACAGGCAGGTGTTGTAAAAAAAAGTTTGCTTAGCTTTTCATTAGTACACATTTCTTTTTCTAAGAATTTTGTTTATCCAGCCTGTGCTGAATTCTAATTTTTTAGATCTCCTAGTATCAGTTAATATTTATGTAATTAAAATAATTACACCAAATCTTTCAGATTTATGGCACAATATTTTTTTCTCTGATCCTCCTAACATTTGACCATGTGAAGGGACTGGTGTTGGCTATAAAAGTATAATCAGATTAAAGTTTTTTGCACAACCTATGCATCAAGTTTTTGTTATAAAATATTGTATCCTTCTCAAAACTAGTTTATCAAAATAAGAATGAGTAACCAGGCACAAGTATGGCTTTTACGATGATAGTTTCCAGGTTTGAAAAAAAAGTCATTTCCTACTAAAATCCTTATTTCCTTTGCCCAGACAGCCCAACCTCATCAAAACATTGCCAACAGAAGTGACTAACAAATTATTGATCCAGACTACGTCAATTCTTCCCCACCTCCCCACCCCCCGAAATGGTCTTTCAATCCACTGAAGAAACTCTTCTACAGCTAGTGCTGAGGAGTTTTATTACAGTTTTTATTCCGTCTAAAATAACAAGAGCTCCGCTTTTAGGCTTGGCTAAATCTATATATTATGTTTTTTCGGTCCTTTATGATGGTTGCAGTCTTCGCTGATCTCTATCGTTGTCTTCATAGCTCGATTGCTATGGGAACGCCAAGTTGGTGCCCATGCAAGGGGTGTCAACATGGCGGCCATGAAGTAATACGAACATTTTCTGTCTTGTTTGGCCTCTAAAGTGATTAGTTATCGATTTTGGGACACCTAAACACGTTTTCTAATTTTTCTAATACTTAGGGAATAAAATGTCACACGATAGTTCATATTTTACAGCTTTTCTTCGAGCGAAGAAAAACCGAAATTAGAAATGGCTCTATTTTCAAAATAGAGAACTCCACGGTGCTGAAACCTTTCTAAAGTTTTAGGGGGTCTTTCGTCTTTCGGTGGTAAACTGTAATATCCTTTCTTATTTTGGATTTTTATGATGGAAATCAAGTAGAAACCAAGGGTTGTGTTAGATTTGTGCTTCGAAGACAAGTTTTGAGTTTGTGTTGAATGTTTCAGTCAATACTAAGACCCCTGAGTTGTTCAGTGGATAAGCAGTTTCTTCTCCGTCTTGACCCTAAATTTCTCGAGAGTCTCGGTACTTATCGGTTCCACCTTAACAGCATTTATTTTTACCGTACGTACAAAATCAGAGCAATGTCGTTTTAACAGTTTGATTTATTTCATATAGTAGAAATATACTGACATCAAGACATCACAACAACATCATAAACGATGTTGCAAGTCAGCTAAAACAATCATTTTCTATTATGGCCTAGATGAGCTAGGGTTAACTGCCATGGTACATGTTTCTTAGTTCTTCAAAACTTTGTAAACGAACTTCCAGCATTAACTGGGTAGGTCCACAGCTACAGAGAAAGGTGAAGACTCTTTGGACATGCACATCCATTCGCCAGCCTTCTCCAGCTCCGTCATCATCTCTTGATAGTGTTCTAATTCCTCTTTCATTATGTTAAAACAGAGGACGCCATCTGGAAAGAAGCTAACATTGGAATTTAGTGCGGATCTTGTAAGGTTTCATCATAGGAAATTTCCATTATTATTTTCCTATTTGTCCATGTATTCATTAGATTTAACTCAAAGAGTTGGTTAACCTTTAACCTGTGACATCATCCAAAGAGAAGTTGAAGAGACCAGCTTGGGGGTGTGCTCTTGATACATCAGAAAATTCCTTAAGCGAATTTGCAGAGAGAGGGTTTGACCCCAGCGGAAGATTTAAGGGTCAGATGCTAGATATTAAGGGAATTTATCAGGAAGGGTGTTACGTTAGTCTTCATTAACTGATCTATCTCACGGTTTAAGTTTTCGAAAAACAATAACAAACCAGGAAAAAACTTGTGAAGAGATTTTATATGTTTTTCCTTTTTTACAATTCTGTTAGGTCCTCAATCTAAAATCGTACTCAGACCTACCAGACCGAACCATTCTTATCATCTCCACGAAAGCAGAGGAGCTGATACGTTCTGTAATGAGCGCCCCACCACAAATCAAAGCATCGGATTGCCCTGATTTTATCTGAGGTATCGGCTGCCCGTTCAAAGACGTGCAGATGAACTCAGTATAGACCTCTTTCTTCTTTGCTTCCGTTAAAATTTCAGCTGAGATGTCCAGAGCACATAGGTTGGTGTATCCGAGTTTCTTGAGCTCAACTCCAATCAGACCTGTCCCAGCTCCGGCGTCAATGATTTTGATCTGATCCATTGGTTTGTCCTGGTAAACTTCTTTAAGGGCATTATGCAAAGATTCGGCCTGTGGCTTGAAATATGAAGTGCGCACCGCTGAATGTTCCTATACGATGAGAAAGTTCAAGCCGGTTATTACGATTAGATGTTCGATAAATACGACACTAGTCTAGTGTCACCTTGGGCCCCTTTTCCTCGAGAGCTTCGGTAACTTTACGGACCCGAAAAGCTGATCTGTTTTCAATCAAAATCGAGATTTTACTTTAAAAAATTTGAACTTAAACAAAGGAAATATCGGGGAGCAAGGTATAATAAACTAGTTTTTGAGCTAATAAGATACATGAAAAAATTACTTAGTTCTAACTCGTTAAGATAAATGAAGTTTCCAGGTAATTCAATGCAGAAGAGGGTTAATTCAGTGCAAAGAAGTAGCAAACCAGACCGAACAATTCCTTCAACTGTTTAGCCGGACTTTGAACTTTTTTACGCCTTAAAGATGTGAAAATATCGTTGTATATTATTGCTTTGATCGTTCGTGGTTGTTTTGACCAAACGCACAATGTCACTTGCAGGGTTTGAATAAATTATTTTTGCACTTGATGCGCGCGCTTTGCTTCTGCATAATTATGATAAAGTATCTCGTATTTATTCATACATATTATTAAAACGTAATCACACGATTACACGATTACTGCACTCGTGCAAATTGTAATAAATAAGCACATGTAAATCTTTTCAAAGACCACACAAACCACATTATCATTGGTCAAACAAGACCACAAATTGCACTCACCCTACGGGCTCTGAAATTTTGTTAGTCTTTAAGAAAATTTACCCTTGCTCATTTATTCCAAATTGCACTCGAAATCATATGATTACCAAGACTGCATTATTATTCCCTTAATTAAGATCTAGGAATGTTGCATCGGGCCCGAAAGTTCCAGTAGTACTGGAACATTCGAGAAAGGCAACCCTGAGTGATGGATAAAGTTTCCGGCGGGTCAAACGGCAATGTGCTACGTGGTCCTCCAGACCCCTATTATTACTATTTTACTATTTTAGAGTACCTCGTCATATGTTGCTGACCGTGCAGCATAGATACGTTTGATTTCACCTTCGGTTATTTCTTTGGTTATTTTTGCTCTTGTTTCTCCGAAATACTTCATTAAGCTTGCTTTGAACTGCTTCTCATCCATTCTATATTGAGGAACAAAATGCAAAATGTCATATACACTTGTCTGATAAAGGCTTCTGTTATATGAAGTGCGGTGCTTTGTAATGATTTCCAGCCCTGAGAAAAGCCTTAATAGCAAACGTGTAAAATTACGGTAATTTTTTTACACGTCACTCGCCTTTTGTGACACTCTGTAAGGTTGGTTGAGGTTACAGAGTTGAATGTTCTGAATAATACAAAGTACAAAGTTGAATTTAAAGCGTGTAACAAAACGCTGATTGGACAAAACAAACAAAGAAACAGAACAACGTATGCATTTACAAGGAAAGTTTTAAATTAACATGACAAAGTAGATGATTAAGTTTAGGTCGCTCCCATTTAATGTGGATAGCTTCTTTGATTTTAAGTTGAAAAGTTGTGGAAGCGTAATCTAAGATGTTAAAACACTCATCAAAACAAAGTGTGCAACATTGTGGAGAATTATGTTGATGTCTGAAAATGTGAGAGGTCCTATCAGCATTTTGTTACACACTTTAAATTCAACTTTGTACTTTGTATTATTCAGAACTGAAGATAATAGAAGAACTGTCCAAATATGTTTTTAAAGAGTTGAATGTCCTTTATAAAACAAGTAAGCTAATCTTCAAGTCAAGTGCAGTTCTCTACCGCAGACAAAACAAACCTTATCACTGGTAACAATGTTTCAGTTGAATTTAACATAAATTTGTCTCAAAATCCTAACCACATCTTATAGTATTTCCGAAATTGTGGGAAGCAAATACACAGTCGATGGTGTTAGATTTTCAAGGTAAACAAAACACGACAATCAGAACAACAATCATATAACGGAATGAATCAAGAACAAGCTGTTCACCATGTAACGCTTTCTGGTTACCATGTATCTTCAACAAAAAACCATGTATCACCGGAAAAAACAAGAGAAATTCATTGCATTCGCTTTCACTCATCTTCAATGCTTCACAATACTTTGAAGTGGAAGTCCAGTGTAAATTTTAAATGTTCATCGAAATTACAGTTTCAAGGCTACTATTTTCATACTAATGATGTTTCAAACATGACATTAGCTGAGAAAAAAAATACGTTATTAAAGAGTTCAGAGTAATGTAGGGTCGCAATAAAGGAGGAAACTATGTGCTGTTAAGCCCACTCTGCTAATTTCTTTGACTCTTACAATTTGATTCTCTCTGAGTACTTTTTACTGACCTCTCCCTGAATTGTGCTTGTGACTTGTGCTTGTGACTTGTGCATCGAAATTACAGTTTCAAGGCTACTATTTTCGTATTAATGATGTTGCCAACATTACATTAGCTGAGCAAAAAAACCACGTTACTAAAGAGTTCAGAATAATGTTGGGTCACATTTAGGGAGGAAAATATATCCTGCCAAGCCCACCATACTCAGCGAAAGGCACCAAGTACTATCGATCTGCCTTTCTCAGTTCTCCAATACACAATCAATTATACTTGCATCCAACGCGGGTCGCTTAAACGCAAAGAATTCTGACATTTTTCGCTCATAAATGGTATATTTAGTGTTTCTTTTGATAAAATGTTAGATAAAAATATTAGAGAATACTCGAAGATCAGATTTCAAAATACTTAAAAATACATCTTGGCTATAACTATCATTTTTTCTAGTTTCAGAATACGCTGTCTCTAAATGCCCTGCAACCAGGCGCGTTCTAAAATAGACGAAATGTGTAGCAGTCAGAAATTTTCAAAGCATTTCCACCGAAAGGTTTTTTCAAACTTGTTAAGATTATCAGATGTTTACTTAGAAATGTCAAAGATTAATTTAGCTTTAAGTGGACAAATTCTCCGTGCTGTGCAGCCAGTTATATCGCTCGGTTGTCGACACTTTGCAATTGTACGCTTCCGCTCAGACTGCCGGGCACGCTCTCGAATAGACCAAATGCACGGCGGTCAGAATTTTTCAAAGTGCCTCTAAATGGTTCCATTCCCCATTCTCTATTCTCCATTTATCAAAATGTTAGATAAATATAGTATAGAATACTTGATAAGATTGGCGATAAGATTTTAAAATACTCAAAAGTACATTTTGGCTAAAACTATTATTTGTTTTAGTTTAAGACCAAGTTGTGAAACCGTTATTTCCTAAGAGCTTTTTTTTAGTAAAAATTCGATATATTTTACCTTTATGGAGCGCCGTCTTTTCCCAAAAGTTTTAAATTGCAAGAAAACAATATCCAAACGACTGCGTTTACGTTGTTTTAAAACAATTGGTTCATACCTGTGTTCATGGAGACATGGAGCGCGTGGGAAGTTTTGAAACGACACCTCGAGCAACTTCTCTGTCGCTGTCTAAAATTTCCGTATATCGGCCATGAGCACACTCTAACGTATAGTCCAATTGTTAATTCAAAGTGGCGGTATGGTTAATTAGTGGATACCCTGTATAGAACATGGAGATATCAGATGTTGGAAGAAAATATCATCAAAAGGAATTGATTGAATCAACGGTTTTTGATATCTCTGCTTCAATAAGCTTGTGGAGTGATGGCCTTGAATATGTTAATGAGCGCACAGCTGTCTCGAGGTTGCGACGTTTGAGAGTCGTGTAGCCGAACTAAAACCGTATGTATCTGATCTAGAAATGTATACAAGCGAGCAGCTACAGACCCATGCGGTCACAGCTGCCTGGGTTAATCAATCAAAATCTTTGATTCACTGCACAGAGGGGGTTGACTAATCTCATGTTATGACGATATTTGGTCATAGATTGATCGCATTATTTGTTTGTTATTATAACGCGATATGAGTTAAGTGCAAGTAGGAACACAACTGCCGCCACGGTACCCACCATCAAGGATGAAATTTCGTTTGAAATTTGTCAGTTCAGAGTGAGGCGTTCTCTGAAGTGAAGAAACCTTGAATGACCTTCATAACGTTAATTTATGCGATGTGCAGGTGGCTTTTTGTAACGGGTCACGTGACAGACTCTGTGTCAGAGTGTACATGAATTAGCCAGATCAAGGAATCTAGAAAGAACTGTAAATAACGGAGCTGCCACTTGTTATGCCCTTATGTCAAGTATCGTTTAAAAGTTATGCTCATCAAAATTTCAAGGTTATTCAGAGCATCGTTTAACACATTTGCAGAGAAAGCTTGCAAAATTGTAAGTAAAGCCCAGTTCTGATAACTCGAACGCTTGCTCGTGGGATTCCGTCATTCATGTATACAGTAGAACTCTGCTAACTCTAACTCCTAAGGGAAACGAACAACAGTTCTTCTTAGCGGGGTTTGAGCCAACAAGTTTGTTTTGGATTTCAATGATCCTGTTAATAATTAACAATTAAGGAATCATATCTTACCATTCTTGTACAATAAACTGTCATTTTGGAGCTTTTTGATAAGAGCGTTTAGCTTGGGAAGTTTAGCCGAATGTATGGAAGAAAAACAAGAGCTGAGATATCGAGCACAAAAGTTGAAGACATATTTTTTACATAGATAAAGTAAACAACTGACGTTGTGGTTCTAAATACATGTACACGTAATAACTGTTCCAGAATACAGCACTGTCCATGTTCATTGAAAATTTGGCTCCTATACATAGAGCTGTACAAGTAACTAACGGGTGCGTGTTCAAAACCGGTTAGGCTTAGACGAAGAGAAAACTATTTCAGCCAGCACACCCAGATGATGAAGTATTTACACGGCAGTTTTTCAGCTTAATAATCAGGAGGTTCAGCTTTGAAATTGAACGACCTAGGCAACAGTTCAAACCCCTTCCGCACCAAATATCCAGTTTAAAGCTCAAGGGATCGCTAGCTTCCACCCCCCTTTCAAGATTCATTTTGACATTCACGTATAGTTCTAGTCCGAGAATTTTTGTTGTAGATTGGCTGTCAGTCAAAGAACTGAACCAGAGGAGAACTTATAACACGAGAACTTAGAGTGCCTATGACACGAAAATTTTTTTTTTTTTATTTTCTGGTTGATAGCGGTATTAAAAATTAGAATTAATCGACCTTAGCGCCTGGCGAGTTTCCTTGTTCACTTTTTTGTGCACTGAAAGTACGATTTGGCGGCCAAAAAGTGTTCCCATAAGCGCGCAGCCAAAATGATCATATTACATAGCTGTGGCGTGGGAAACTGCGAAGACGCGTCGGCAACTATAATGAAGAGAGGAAAAATCCAGAGTAAAGGACGAACGTATTGCGTGTCCAGAGCGCCAAATGATGTTAGCTACAAGAACAATACACATATACCGAGTATTTCTATAAATTACTTTCCAAAGGATGTAGCTGTATGGCCAAAATGGACGCGATTCGATCGTTGTCATCAGCCTTATGCTCCGTGCCGGCTTCGAAGACGGCTGTTACTAACACATACCACTAGTCAAATCAGGGGAAGATAACCAATGAATTTAGCTGAAAAGAATGCCGATTAAGTGGCCAGTACCCACACCGAACACGATTGTTCAACATTCTTTTCGGCTGGCATTTCGCAAGCGAAGAATGGCGAGCTCCTTATTGTTGTTTATTCCACGCGCTAGAGGTGTACTTATATTCCTTGTCTTTCCACATGACTACATTTGCGCTTTTCTTATCGTATGAAAATCGAACCAATTCTTGTTTCCATCGTGTTTTAGTAGCGGAACCATATCATTTGTAATAACGTTCAAGCCCTTTCCTGAAGTACAGGCGGCCCAAGCTCACGTCTCGAGAAAAAGGCAACGATTAATTCATGAACGCGTCACGCGTTGTGTGACTCGGTGTTAAGTTACGAGAGGAACCGTTGAAAATTTGAACACGTTATGAAGAATAGTATGGGGAACGAAGTATGGTCGATTTACAACGATAAATATTTAAAAATATAAATATTTTACACGTAAAATCAATAACACTTACTCACATCCTGAGTGTCTGTGGTAGTTTCTGGCGATTTCTTCCGTTTTAGGCTTGCTTTACCATCACTGTTATTCCTGTCAAAAGACGGAGTCAAGGCTGCACACTCCGATTTCGACCGTTGTCCATGCGGA